TAAATCTCCCCGTATAATTCCCGACTAACATTTAAACCATAACCACTGTAAAATCCACTTCCTAATTGCTTCATTACAGCCCCTGTATACGTTAGGCCACATTGTGCCATTTTATCACTAAAGTTGGAATTTATGGGAATTCAAAGTGAATTTCAAATTTTACGACAAATTATGTGAATTAAAAAAAAAAAAAATCGAATGTTTAAATTTAAAATGGAAATTTGAGTTTGTCACGAAGTGAGAATTCAAGGTGAATTCAAAATGAATTTCAAACTAAAGGCCACATTAGCAGAACTGAAAGCATAGCGGAGTTAGAGGAGTTTTCCATTTCAGCGGTTATGACTTTAAATTTGAAATTCACTTTAGTTAATAATCCTGAAAGATTGAAGTTCAGTGAATTATATTTTCATGTATTTTGGTTTCCCAACAATTCTCACTTTTATCCACCATGATGATTTAGCAGAACTCTTTAACAGCCCCGTTCAATGGTTCTGTCCTCTACGGACAAACGTGTAATGAAAAGGCTGGAAGTGGCTTGATTCACTACGGTTTTTGGCTTCCATTTTGCATCATTATAAAAACAATAACTATTATAAAACCCACTGATCATACGTATGTGAAATACTCAAACCCCACACACAAGTGACACTGGGTGATGAATATTGAATACAGCGATAGTAAAGAAGTAGTGAGACAGACTTATGTGCCAAATTCAAACCATTTTGTATCATTGAGACCAGCAGGGTTATTAATTTTGTTTTATCAATTCTGTATACATTATCATACTAATGAGGAACATGATTAAACCAGTCAGAAAATGGGGGAATGCTACCACATTTAGCCAATCATTTTGAGACCGTTTTATCACATAAAATCCAGAGATGATTTATTTTAGGATACACTGATGGCCTCAATGTTTTAAAGCACTATCACACACTAAGATTTTAATAGGAAGCACATGAACTCCCTAGGTACCAGCCGACAGATGTTCCAAACAGAATCTCTGTCAAATTGTCAATATGTTGATTAATGTCCCAAGCTAAGTCCTATCAGGGCTTTCAGATTGTCTGCAATGATCTGGTGCAGAAAAGCCTAACAGGGCACGAGTTCCCTAAAATCTCCTGAAACCTGCTCCAGACCCTTTAATGTCAGAATAATGTCAATCAACCAACAGTTTTGAATGCTATTTTTTGCACATTGATTAGCTGACGGAGATTGACGATCTGCTGCCTTCTAATTTCAAAATTCCCAAGTAACAAAATGAAAACATCAAAAATTAAATGAGTGCCTCAATTTATCTCATCAGTCCTCGGTTTGTTTGAGTTGGGCTTCAGAATGTCGAGTCGATAGCCTAGTCAGTACGAGAAGTAATTAAGTATGCATAGATAGGCCAGTCAGTATGAGAGTGAGTGACGTTAAGTATGCATAGACAGGCCAGTCAGTATGAGGGTGAGTGACGTTAAGTATGCATAGACAGACCAGTCAGTATGAGAGTGAGTGACGTTAAGTATGCATAGACAGGCCAGTCAGTATGAGAGTGAGTGACGTTAAGTATGCATAGACAGGCCAGTCAGTATGAGAGTGAGTGACGTTAAGTATGCATAGACAGACCAGTCAGCATGAGAGTGAGTGATGTTAAGTATGCATAGACAGGCCAGTCAGTATGAGAGTGAGTGACGTTAAGTATGCATAGACAGACCAGTCAGTATGAGAGTGAGTGACGTTAAGTATGCATAGACAGACCAGTCAGCATGAGGGTGAGTGACGTTAAGTATGCATAGACAGGCCAGTCAGCATGAGGGTGAGTGACGTTAAGTATGCATAGACAGGCCAGTCAGTATGAGGGTGAGTGACGTTAAGTATGCATAGACAGGCCAGTCAGTATGAGAATGAGTGATGTTAAGTATGCATAGACAGACCAGTCAGTATGAGAGTGAGTGACGTTAAGTATGCATAGACAGGCCAGTCAGTATGAGAGTGAGTGACGTTAAGTATGCATAGACAGACCAGTCAGTATGAGAGTGAGTGGGGTTTATTGTATAAACAGAATAGTCAGTAAGGGAGTGAACGGAGTGTGTGTGAACAGACTATTCATTGTGTAAGTGAGTAGATCAGGAGTGAGTCACACATTATAATGTCCTATCAGTAGCCAAACTCAGTGGCCCATAAGTAGTCGGGTGCCAGTCCAACGTGTTAACATTACTATGTGGGTATAGGTGAGGGGTGCAAAAGAAGAGAGGCATTGGTACAACTTCCAGGGAGATTTATAAAAGTGGAGTTTACAGAAAATTCATGCAATTTTCTTTTTACAAATAATCACCATGGATACCAATGGAATATTTCCATTGGTTTCCATGGCGATTGCTTTCTCAGAGCTTTGACTGTCTGTTCTGTTAACACCTTTATATGTCTCCTCAATTGTCTACATAATAAGCTTCAATTAAATAAACCGAGGGATCGGGCCAAGAGGACTCCCTGGCTGCGCCTAAATGTGTGCGACTCGTTTTGACGTACACTTGGGATGAATCTAGACATTAATTCAAATCAGGCACTTTGAGTTTGAGGGGATAATAATTAAGCCGTAAATGTTAATGTTGCAATACTACATAATAGATATATTTTATTTCAGCTCGTTTGTCATCATCAAAAATGTCCATTTATCTGAAACTCCCCATTTCCAGAGTACACCCTTTGTTAAGGACGATATGAGATGAGTGTTGTGTGAGAATCCTACTGAACAATAACGCTCCCTCTGGACGCCATCAATACTCTGCAGATTACGCATTGCACGTGTTGGGGAGAAGCTCAGCACACACACACACTTCATTAAAACTTAGTACGCTATTCCAAAAGAAAGATGCTCTGCAGCTTATTCTGCCTGTTTTATTGTGTATTTGTCCTGTATTCAGTTACCTCTCTGTTATCACGAGATGTTTTACAAACCGGTTCACGCTCCGGACATTGTAACTTATAAACAGACCTCTCCACATAGTTATTCCAGTCTATGGTGGGTTTCAGAAAACTGCTGACCTGTCAGGCACAGCCATATTGGGTCCTCACAACTATAACCACATCACTACATAATTCATGATATGTCAGCGTCCAACAAGACAGGAATCAATGAATTGCCAGAAATACTACAGATTAAGGAGAAACCCAACAGAATTATTATTTGAGGTTTTACCGTAATAACATTGAAACATACATTCTTTTTTAAAAGTAATTTTAAAACATTTTTTGATTTTGTTTTGCAATGTTACACGGTGCTTTTTGTCAAACATTCTGTTATAATCTTGAGGAAATGGCTGAGATACCGAACGGAATTCTGCCCAATGCAACATATTGGTCATTATGAATAAATAGAAATAGAAGGGATCTTTCTGTGAATTTCAGTTACCGAATCCCCACAGCTCACTGTTTAGTGAATAAATGTTACATTCAGAGTAGGACATGATTACACTGAAGTTATTAAGGAATTACTGGGACCTCCAGCAAATATTAGGACTGTAGGCTGGACTAATATTGGATGCATTATATAGTTAGTGCATTACAATATGAAAAACAATTAAAATAAATAAGATACTCACATGTAAAGTTTGTAAATTTGCTTTACGTAAACATCATGAGGGTTTCAAAACGAATTTCAAATTTAAGGCCAAAGTAGTCGACTTGGAGAATTCCTCTAGTTTGGCTATTTTAGCCTTACATTTGAAATTGACTTTAAATTCCTGACAATTCTCACGTTAGTGAATAGCATTTGAAGTCTTTGCAGTGCCTGGAGTGACTTACCTTTCTTTAGGACTGGCGAGCTTGTCCTATAGGCTGGCAACGGCAAGGGTTTCTGGGGGTGGTCTTAATTGTCCACTTTCAGCTGTAAAAATCCAACAACTGGACTACAACCCCCGAAAAGTCCTGTATGGCAGTATTTGTGGAGCAAAGCAGAAAACAGCACATGTGATTTACAGGAAGAAAGGTGGGTTTATGGAGCCAAAAGAAAAAAATCTAACTTAACCTAACATCAAGCTTAAAGGAACATTCTAGTGTCAGAAACGCAAACATATTCCGGACACTATGGTGCTAAACCCACGATAAAGGTCCATGCCCTCCTTTGCATTGCTTTGTAAAGGTGTTTTCTCCCACGCTGCGCCGGTCTCGATGCGGCTGGTCCCACCTCCATATCTCAGCCAATCCAAGGTTTCCCATAAGAAAGCAATAGGAGTCTACTGCGCAGTTATCAATGCATCTCTATGGGAAACGTTCCACACCTCCATGCAGAACATGGATTCAAAATATTCAGGTCTAGCTCCTTAAATTTGTCTTTTTTAGTTCTGCAACTGAAAATACTTAATCCGTAACCTGTCCCCATAAATAAACTCTAGGGATAGCAGATACATAAACCAAGTCAAAAGTAAAGTAATTTGGGGGGGGAGAGGGGGCAGGACAATCTTCGAAAGATTCATTAAAAAAATATATATTTAATCCGTCTCCCAAAGGGAAGTTGTGAACTTAGACGCAAGACTCCAATACTACACTAATAGTCATTTAAAAAGGCCCTGGGTTTTCTGAAAATGCCTTCCTTTGTTAATAATGCATTTCTCGGACCTAAATGATTATATATTACACTGGTTTGGGAGGTTATGATGGCGGAGGGTGGAAATGAACCACAAGTGACCTTATTATTTTGCCCCTGGATTTAAGATTTTCATTTACATCAACACAAGGAGGAAAATTGGGCTATTATCAACGTGTGTAGGCCGACGGGGAATATTGAATTAAAAGGGCAATTCAGGTGTAAAACGGACTTTATCAGCTTATTGTGCACAATTTTCAACTTGATGTCAAATATTTTCACTGCACAAAGCTAGAGTTTTGATGAGGTTTGCTTTTAGCTCTCTGGTTTTCAGATGGTCCCTTGCCAAATCCCCCAAATCAAGATTAAAGAACAGACTAAAAGTAGACTGGCACCGAAGCGGTTTATTAATCATGATCTCCTGTCTGTAGGAATCTTTCTGCTTCGGTGAGCAAAAGCGGGACTTCGATCTTGCTGACGTGTTAATTTTTACAAAACCCAGCTCTCTTATTTCAGACAGAAAATCCATTCAGTATTGTTGATCAGGTGTAAAATAATTACTAAAATGTTTAAACTGGGTTTCCATTTTTTTTTTAATTGTAATTCTTGTATTTGTTTAGACAGTCAACGCAGACAATACATAAAAACACTTTTGATCAATATATTATGTAATCATTGTCTGTTCTAATCACGTGGTAAAGATATTTCATCAAAAATAAGCAATCCACTTAAAAAAAAAAAAAAAAATAAGAGATCCAGTGTAGAAAACTCTGCAAACAATATTTACAAGTAGACGTGTGCATAGAAAGAGTATGGGTACTTCGTTACCTACCCGAAATATCAACCAATGAAAACCCCAAGGGTGCTTTGCTCCTGGACAAGGACCCACAGGCTTAAAGAGTAAATCACAGTTTAACTTTCACAGTTACCTCCAAATACTTCAACAAAAATCACAAAAGCCTTCAGATAACAGAGCAAAACGGCCATAAGAATGGTCTACATACTGGAAACCTATTGTCGGCTCTGGACACTGTTTGGTCCCCAGGAAGAGTCTCTAACCAACTTGAGGTGCAGGGATAGAAGACAACTTAAGAAGAAGATCTAGAAAGTGAAAGATCGTATTCCTCAAGAATCTCTGGTTCCCGACCATCAACCTTCTTGGTCCAGAGTTAAATGCCAAATGATCACAGTCTCATTGTTCTAGTAGGAACGCAGAGTTGCTTTACTGTCCTGTTCTGGTGGAGAATCAAGATGATCGATCGTTTGATAAGCACTGCGGTCTCGTGAGACGTTAAGGAATCCTAGGAAGAGAAATTATTTTAAAAATTTAAACACGTACATGGCTTAATATTTAAAGTCCTACACTACTAGCCAGTTCTTAAAGGCCCCATGCAGCCTCACTGCTCTGCCATTTAGGAGTTACTCTCTTTTGTTTCTGTTTATGCAGCCCTAGCCACACCTCCCCTGGCGCAGCCTGGATGAAAACAAAATGGTTTCATTTTTAATCAGATGTAAATTTGCTTTAGAAGTTTTTATCTCCTGCTCTGTAAATTGAACTTTAATCACACACGGGAGGCCCCTGTGTGATTAACACAGAGCAGGAGATAAGACATTCTAAATTAAATAGACTGTGCAATAAAGGAAGTGTAAACATTAGATGATTCTTTACAGGAAGTGTTTGGAAGGCTGTGTAAGTCACATGCAGGGAGGTGTGGCTAGTGCTGCATAAATTAAGTGATTTCATTCCTAAATGGCAGAGCATTGATCAGTGAGACTGCAGGGGCATGATCTATACACCATAACTGCTTCATTAAGCTAAAGTTGTTTTGGTGACTATAGTGTCCCTGGCACACTACAGGGGTGAATAGGGCTATGTTTTTTTACATGCCAGTGGCTAGTGTAAATTGTGAGCCCTATTTTAGGCAACCTCCTGCAAATTAATTTTTCCTTATTGGGCAAAACAGACCGGTTGGTTTTCTGGAAGGAAAATAAATAAACACAACAGTGGTTTACCAATTTGGACAAAACATCTTTAAAATTAAGGATCATGTGAACAATACCTGCTTTGATTAATACCTGCGTAGCAAAGGTACAGAAACAAAAAGGTGAAAGACACATTGTTACATGCCAAGTGAATATGAGCATAGATGGGGTATGTTACCAATGTCACACTGCGCACGCCACGTTCCATCATGTGTAACATGAATGCAAATTTCTACACCGAACAAGTCACAACATAATTTGTAGTTTTTAATGATTTTAAAAGTTATCCATCACATGGCAGAAGTATATGTTATTTACATACCAGCGTGTGTTTGCACATCTATGTTTATATTCAATGGATTCTCAAGCAAAGCATTAACCGGAATAATACGTTAGAAATCAATCAATGTATCTGCAATATCTGTGAAGCTGACACCATGTTATGTGAGAGAACTGCGACAGGACGAGAGAACATTAAGCAGATTCTTATTCATGTATTCAAACAAAATAACAAATAAATAAAACTATAAAAATGTTAAAATCAATATAACAACATGTTAGTAGCATGATTATAGTCACTGTGAAAACTCCACTCCCCTGGAAAAAAATGTTTAAATAGAGCACAAAACTAGTCTACTAGAGTGCATCAATATTGAAAAAATGATAATCTGCCAATCATGGTTACAGATTAAATGCCTGGTGTAACACCACTTTGAACCAATGATTCCTGCACCAGTTATAAGCAGGTTTCAGTGAATAGGCAAGACAGAAAACCGGCAACTAATCAGAAAGAGGCCAAGCGAATACTGTATTCCAAGTAAAGCGGACTGGAATAATGTAACCAATTACATTGATGCAGTTACAAAAAAGGTGAACTTAGTGGACTGTAATATGAGCAAAGAAGGTGGTGAAAAGATTGTCTTTGTTTAACCTTTTGATCCTTTGTTTAAAAATAAAAGAAATGCACAAAAATACTCTGCTTCCATGGATAACAAACAATTGCAAACTCAGGTTCATCCCCAAAAACTTAAATAAATTAAAAAAATCTTGGTTAAATATATGTGTGGCACCCCTACGTAGTCATATGATAAAACTATATTCTCATTGACATTTTCATTATTTGTTAATACACCTGGAAGGAACAGGAAATTGTTCAACCATGACTTCCTGTTTCACAGGGGTTTAAAAATTAGGAAATAAATAGGCCAAATTCCCTTAGTCATTCATCACAATTGGTAAGAAAATGGAATTAAAGATTGTCAATCTTCACAAAATGTAGAGTGGCTATCCAAATATAACAAAGACATTAAGAAAATGCCCATTTCCACCATCTGGGCAATAATTAAGACACTCCAGTCAACTGGAAAGGTTTTGAATTAACCTGAAACAGGACGTGTGTCCATATTGTCTCAACGCACTGTGAAGAGGATGGCTTGAGGGGCCAAAATCGCTCCAAGGATCATAGCTGGAGAAATCCAAGGTGGATTTGGCACACACAGAGCAGTAGCCATATGTATGTACAATGGTAAATTATGGTGGTGACTTGAACCCCATAGAAAACCTGCGGTGTGAACGGAAGAGGAGAGCCCACCAGCAGACCTGGAGAGATTCTGTATGGAGGTTGCCATGTAGTCTCCAACCTCATCGGGTATTATAGGAGCAGTTATCTTGGCAAAAGGAGGTAGCACAAAGTACTGACTAAAAGGGAGCCAATACTTGTACCACACACGATTAACAAAGATTTATTTATTTTAATAAACCGGTGTTTTTGCAATTGTTTGATATCCACGAGAGCAAAGTATTTTTGTGTATTTTCTTAACGAAAGATGAAGTGGTTAAACAATATTGACAATTGTTCACAGTCTTCTTTGTTAACAAAGGGTTCCAATATTGGTGCATGTTATGTCCAAAATGTTAGAATTCATATTTTAAAAAAAGCTAATGAACCATTTAAAAAGATTCCAGCACAGACTGTTTTTGTGCTCTGGTAGTTAATGTTGATTTCTTTTTTTTGCAATTGGGATTCCGTGATGTTAGTGCATGATTGTATGCGCGTTGTAATATCGTGGCAGCAAGACAGGGGTACCTGGTTCCGTCTGGGTTTTGTATCCAGCTGGATAGGAAGGCTTTTCTGTAAAATGATCACAGACCCATCAATGTCGCATTCACAAACTGATAAGGATAAATAGAGAATGCAGGTACGCAACATCGGCCCCTCAACTGGAGTGCCCACTGTCTCAAAGTGTCTGTTTATACATTTATATTTTATTTACGTGTATGCACAGATTCCTTCAGAATGTAGAATTCAAATGCTGTAAGGGTAGATCAATCCCTAATCCTGCATCATATTAATCCTTCATACTGCTTTCCATTATCATGAAATAGGAAGCTTGTACAGGAAAACCTAGCTCAGAAACAAAGTTCTTACAGGAAGATGTAACGTATGGTTTAGTGACAGAAGACGGGGAGGTCTTGTTAATTAGAAGAATTCCAATAATCTATGATGAGAGTTTGGGAACCTAGAACAAAGGACATTTGCGGCTTATGGAAAATGAGTTGATGCACGTTTCCCCAGCTCTACATTAGCACACGTTTTACTTCAACAGAAGCTGCACTGGATCACTGATATTGGTCTACTGTGACATAGTATTGTGTAACCTTTAGGAAAAGGGCAGGCATGCTTCCATATGAAAGGGAAATCGGAACATGTAATCCCTCACAGGGATCCTTAATAAAATAAAAAAATAAAAATAAATAAAAAAAGGGCCAGATGTTGTTGTTTGTTATTCCAAGTTCCTTCGTTATAGATTTGAGGCCAAGTCACAGATAGCCAGAAAGACATATTTACAAGCGATGTTTGTAAAGGCAAGCCATGCATTTAATCCATGCCATGCAAGGGTGCAAAGCAAAATGACTGGTAATTACAAGAATGAAAACCAAATAAACTATAGAGACAGATGGGAAGTGTGACAAACGCTGCTTACCCTGGACGTTTGTCACAAACTCCTGGAGGAGCCTGCTAGTTGGCCTCCTGCCCAAGGACAATGGCCACATACAAAGACCCTGTTCAGGAGTTAAACCTCCCCAGCTGCCATTAGCAGCTTTCCCTGGGTGCTCCTGGTTCGGCATTTTCCCTTCATTCAAATGGAACCGAACACTAACTCGCTGGCGGCTGTTCGCATGAAAAAACCCACGAATAGTCCTCAGCGGTACTTAGCCATGATCATTATGGAACTAAATTAGTCACGAGGACTTCGTGGGTTCCCGGTCACCTCAGCGGGACTTAGCCGCGAATGTTATGGAACTGTTTTCGGCATGAGGTGACCATGCGGCTCCCAGACAACTTGGTCCACAGTGTTTTGAACCACTTTGAAATCCGCCAGGAGAGCGCTTTTTGTAGGGAAGGTGTCTGAGACTAAGGGGAACAAACGCTACCCGAGACCCAGGCGGAGCACCCTTATTGCGGCCGCAGGAGCTCCCGGAAGTTGTCCAGCAAAAGCACCAAACACCCTGGAACTGTTTTGGGCATAGGACCATGTGTGCGGCCAGTCAGAACTTCCACACGGTGGCGTTTCCCCTACACTGAATGGATTTGAGCGCTATTTGGAGAACTTGAGAGCTCAGATCAGGGCTATGTAACGATATATAATTTGTGAGGGTTCCTATTTGTTTTGTATGTATTTTGATATTTTATGTTTTCATGCCACTCTGACACAGGAATTTGTGGACATTTTGTGGGAGTGTTCTGGGCGTGTTCTCCAACCTCCTGATTTTGTATATAAGTGGGCCATATGGCCCTAATAAACACATTCGTTTCTACCTTTCATCAAGTCTAGGCTGATGTTTGGGGAATTGGGAGCTATAATCACTGCTTCACTGGGGATTTGGGAGAACTACAGCAGATACACTCAGCCAAAGTATAGGGGATCCTTTACAAGACTAGAGATGCTAAGGGCAATGATCATGAGGAGACTTTTTCGGATTTGTCATGGTTGTCCTCATGAACATTTCAGTAGCAAATGACTGCAGCGGGGGTGGCTACCAAAAAGTAGATCCCCAGCTGTGTTACAACCTCAACATCTACAATGTCCTGTCAGCCATTAGACTACCACAGCATCATAGGAGTGGTAACACCACAACAGTTAGGATTCTGCCTTTTGAACATCTCTGAAGTAATTTGTGATTGATGGACAAACAGAAAAACAGACAAATATACGAGACGCACTAAGACACAAATAGGATAACGGGGATATGTGTCCCTTTAAGATGAAGGGTTAGGTAAAGTTATGACAGTCCTGGCACATCATTGGTTAAACCCTACTAGTTCTTACCAAAGTGTCACTTACCCAGATTGACGCTGCACTCCCCGCCTCGCTCACGGTACATGTGGTAAGAGAAGAAACATGACAAGGGTTTGAAGATCAGACTTAAAATGGCCATACCACCAGCAAACCGAAATAAATCTCTAGATGTCGTAGGTTCATACTGTGCCTCCGCTGGGGCATAAAATAACGCAAAGAGTAGAATGTCTGTAATGACTGTGGTCGCCAAACCAATGAGAAACTGAAAGAGAAAGCAAGATAAACTACTAGAAATGCAGAAAATGACTGCAAGGTATTGAAGTGACGCTGCAGGCTGGAGCCGACCGGTTATTTACATATTCTATAGATAATTCATTTAAAAATTACAAGCAAAAATTATACGCTTTAAAGCAGCTCTGTCGCTGTCTGATGGAGACTTTATGGCTGGCAGTGCGATAGCCCATGAGAAGGCGAGTTATACTTACATGAACCTATCCCTAGTGGCCCTCACCACGCTCTTCCTGTCAGGAACCCACATCAGTATTGTACTCTCGCCCACAACACTGTCTATGGAGAATCCCACAATACCACGGGTTCCTTCATAGACAGGTAGATCCGCCATTTTTTTGTTAAAGGACACTCCACTGCCCAAAAGAAAAAACATCACTGTTTAGTAGATATACCCCAAATGAAAATTGGCATGCATTTAATTATGCCCTTTTTCATCTAAGTTATATTTAAAAACCACTTGCAAAACCTGCAGTTCTCTTGTCTGCAGCTTTTGCAAGCCCTTCCTTTCTTGCCCCGCCCAGACTTTCTGTGGATGTCCAATCACATGCTTCCCAATGCAGATCAATGAGAAGTCTTTGCAAAGCAGGTGCTTTGAGCCAGTGTTTCCTAAACCAGTCCTCAAGACCCACCAGCAGTCCAGATTTTGTCAGTATCTCCATTAGAATAACATATGGAAATAAATAAAACCTGGATTGTTGGTGGGCCATGAGGACTGGTTTGGGAACCACTGTTGTGAGCAATTGCTGTCTCTTGAGTTTAGCTCCACTGAGCTAACCAAACCAGGAAGTAAAAGGCAGGAGGGTGTAACCAGGTTAATTTATAAAAGTGCCAATTTCTATTGAAATGTGCCCCTTTTGCAAAACTAAAAAAGTAGTTTTTCAGTAAGTTAAAGTGCCTCAGGGGTCTGGAGTGCCCCTTTAAGCTTGTTAAGTGTAGGAAACGTACAAAGACAAACATAGGCCCTACTTTGTCTTAGTACATCAGTGGAATTCCAACACAGTCAATGTGAGTATTTCATGAAGACTTTATTTTTATGAAATACTAATTTTGGAAGGGAAATGACAGTGCCGATTTAGCAGAGCAATAAATTAAATAAAATTACTCTCATTTGAAATTCCTGTTTTTGCTGTACGTTTGCAGCTGCAGCAGTGATCCCTGCCTGGGCCAGGAAGTGGCTTGGCCAATTGTAATGGTAGTTTCTTTCTATGCTTTCTAGCTTTGATAGCTATAGTATACCCGCACAAAGTGCTTTAAAGGGACACTGTATGCACCCAGACCACTTCAGCTAATTGAGGTGGTCTGGGTGCTGTGACCCTTTTGCACTTAGTGCTGCAAAGTAAAACACTGCAGTTCCAGAGACAGCCACTAGAGTGCTTCCGGAATCCAAATGGACTTTTGGTCCGTTATCTGACGCAGGACGTCCTCACGAATCTCCAGCGTCAGATTTTCCCTTTAAGAAAGCATTGAATAATGCTTCCCTATGGGGAGGTATAATGCGCACGCAACCATTACCGCGCATACACATTAGGTCTCCCCCGCTGGCTAATGTCTGCGGGGGAGGAGCGTGGGCGGAGCCTGACACCTTCAGGCCCCTGAGAGAGAGGGCACTCCAGGAGCCTAAAGTGCCAGGAAAACAGGTTTGTTTTCCGGGCACTACAGGATCTCTTTAAGAACCATGTTCATGGAACCATGCTTCTAATAAGCACCCCTATTCAAGCTGTATAAAGGTAAAGGCAAATGACTTTTCTAAGTAAGCGAAAAGTAACTAAGTAAATAACACGGAGTATTTATATTAATTAGCACAATACATGCATTATATTTAATGCTCTACAACGTTCAGAACAGGGAAATTTAACATACAGCTGACCCCCATTTTAATGCACTATATAAATGTGGAAAAAGACAACAACTTGAAATGTGCCTTTAAAGTATTGGCCCCTTGGAAATATAATAAACAGAACATTTTAAGGCACATTTTAACTATCAATCCTTGCTTGCAAACCTAGAATTCCGCACCCTGCTTGTTTGTTTTATTGGATCTGCTATTTCCGTCTGCACATAATCCTTTTCCTTTCCTCAATTCCCCCAGTCAAAAAGGGTTCTGATTCCAGTCTCTTTTCTGTTCATAGTCCGTGTGATACAGACGAAGGATCTGATTTCTTGTTTTAGTAGAAAAGAAAAATCTGAAAGCTTTTTAATAACATTGATTTGCTTCTAAATGGCTTACCATTAAGATTGCATCAGCAGAGTCTCGCTGGGCGACTGCCCAGACACCCATGGCTAGGACGGTAATGTTTGCTAGATAATAGGTAACAGGTAGCCATTGAATCATACATGCGCTGTAAGACAGAACACATTGTTTATGTAAATATCTTCACAAGGACGCGCAGTTAAACAAGGAATTCAGGGCAGGCCTGAGATGTCCCACAATTTACCCACTTTTTCCCAAGTCATAAATTATTTGAAATTCCAAGACTTTTTATAAGAAATGGTTAGAATGCTCACTGTCTGAATGTGACAGGGCCAAAGTTTTACAAACAGAGAGGGGATAATACAAAATACAGACTACTGTCACAAAACTGTATTATCAACCCAAAAGGTAATAAGTAAATCACCTGTACAGATCGAAAACACAGTTCATAAAGTAATTTACATTGATGGGGAAAATTAAAACATCTTACGATAAATAGAGGGAAAGCTCATTTTGCAGATCTGTATTTTTAAAAACATTTTTTTTTACAGAGATTATAATAAATCTAATTTTTATTCTATGTTTGTATATTCCTTTAGTTCACATTTTTTTATTCTGCAATTTATATTCTATAATACTATTCAATGATGAAACACTGTATCTGCTTCTCCAAGATGGCAGTTGGAAACAATTTCCAATCGTTGCTCACGCCATTGCATGTCCACCAAAGAGCTCGCACTGCATCTCGCAACACGCGGGTGGACTACCTTTCATGTCCCCAAAGAGCTCGCACTGCATCTCGCAACACGCGGGTGGACTGCCTTTCATGTCCCCCAAAGAGCTCGCACTGCATCTCGCAACACGCGGGTGGACTACTTTTCATGTCCCCCAAACAGCTCGCACTGCATCTCCCAACACGCGGGTGGACTACCTTTCATGTCCCCCAAAGAGCTCGCACTGCATCTCGCAACACGCGGGTGGACTACCTTTCATGTCCCCAAAGAGCTCGCACTGCATCTCGCAACACGCGGGTGGACTGCCTTTCATGTCCCAAAGAGCTCGCACTGCATCTCGCAACACGCGGGTGGACTACCTTTCATGTCCCCAAAGAGCTCGCACTGCATCTCGCAACACACGGGTAGACTGCCTTTCAGGTCCCTAAAGAGCTCGCACTGCATCTCGCAACACGCGGGTGGACTGCCTTTCATGTCCCCAAAGAGCTCGCACTGCATCTCGCAACACGCGGGTGGACTGCCTTTCATGTCCCCAAAGAGCTCACACTGCATCTCGCAACATGCGGGTGGACTACCTTTCATGTCCCCCAAAGAGCTCGCACTGCATCTCGCAACACGCGGGTGGACTGCCTTTCATGTCCACCAAAGAGCTCGCACTGCATCTCGCAACACGCGGGTGGACTACCTTTCATGTCCCCCAAAGAGCACGCACTACATCTCGCAACACGCGGGTGGACTGCCTTTCGTGTCCCCAAAGAGCTCGCACTGCATCTCGCAACATGCGGGTGGACTGCTTTTCGTGTCCCCAAAGAGCTCGCACTGCATTTCGCAACTCGCCAGTGGACTGCCTTTCAGATCCCCAAAGAGCACGCACTGCATCTCGCAACACGCAGGTGGACTGCTTTTCATGTCCCCAAAGAGCACGCACTGCATCTCGCAACACGCGGGTGGACTGCCTTTTATGCAGCAGATCCCATCCTGTTTCTGGGTATCCTTGTAGTTTAAATTTCTGTGACAATCATCATAATACACAGTATGACTGAGCTATCGAGGAACCTGCCCAGGAGAGAGCTACTCACAATATAGTCAGCAGCCAATGAATGAAGACAATCGCCTGGTGAGAAAGAAACAAGTATTAGTTGGCAAAACTAACAAGCAATAATGACAATAAAGACCGAATATTACTGTGAACTAAATAGTGCTTCCATGAATGAGGCGGAAAAAAGGAAGGAAAGAGGGAGTGCTTTATTTGAAATATAGCAAAACGAATACAACATTTAAAACAAAGCAAAAAACAGTTAAACAAGCTTGTTCCAATCAGGTTATTGTCCAATTCCTAATTTGAGGTTTTTTTCCCCCCCAGCTAAATCCTGGCTGCATTATAGGAGACTGTCCCAGATCAGTGAAAGTAAAACATTTGGCTCCCATATGATGCGACATTGTGTACCACAGCTGAGAGTTAAAGGACACTATAGTGCCGGAAAACAAACTCGTTTTCCTGGCACTATGTAGTCCTTAGGTCCCCCCCACCCTTATGGCCCCCGTTCTGCTGGGCTAAAGGGGTTAAAACACTTCCCTTTCTCCAGCGCAGGGTTCCCTCTGCGCTGGGGAACTCTCCTCCCTCTGCCGACATCAGCTCCGAATGCGCATGCGCGGCAAGAAATGCGCCTGTATTCAAACCGCCCATAGGAAAGCATTACTCGATTACTGTGATTTTCACGGTGAGAATCGCGGGAGCGCCTCTAGCGGCTGTCAGTGAGACAGCCACTAGAGGCTGGATTAACCCTAATGTAAACATAGCAGGGTTAACACTAGAGGGACCTGGCACCCAGACCACTTCATTGAGCTGAAGTGGTCTGGGTGCCTATAGTGGTCCTTTAACAGAGAACCAAACATACCCACAGGGTTCAAGTGATCTTAAAAAAATACATTAACCCCTAAAGGACAGACATTTTCCGTCATACTGGCCGTTTACTTCTGAAGCAGCGTGAAAACGTTGTTCTACTAATGGGTGATTAATAAAGGGAAATCCCTGAAAACATAAAAAGTTCTGGACATTATTTTTCTTTCTCAAATTATGCTCAACGACCAGATTATAGAAACTAATTGTGGCATCTTCCTACTTTACAATTACAGCAGCAATCAAAGAAAAGCCAGGTCCACAACTGTCTCAAACATTAACATTTCTTTAAAGCTGCCATAAAGGAAACGGGATCTTCCAATCTGTCTGATCTCTTGCAGTTTATACTCGGAATGCGGGTGACAGACATTATTGCACCATTCACTATATGTCTGTCTGTTGCACTTAAATTGCACAATGAAATAAACAGTTCTCTCCTTATTGCGCTACCTGTAAACATTTCCTTTAGGAAACGGTGCACTTGTGCAAGTTGTTCAGATTTACCAACAGAATCAGTCATTGTAAAATGTTCTTTTTTTAGCAGATTGCTTCTTGCTCGGTCCTTATAAGGGTGAGAGAGCTTAGTGGATAAGACTCCAGTTGTATCTCCGGGATTTATTAACTAAAGATCAAATTGAACTGAACTCAGAAACGGACTGTAAAATAAGTCACATTATAACAGGCTAGGAGACTATACCAGACAGCTTTGTCTAAATTTAGCAATTTCCCCCCCAATTCACTACACATTGGTGTTTAATGAGTAATTCCTGTGTTCATATCATAACTTTTCATCCTTCCATTGCCAATAACACGAATGCCATTAACTTGTAAAAATAATATCAACACCCCCGGAAGTACTATTTTTAGCAGCTCAGCTACATATCTTCCCTATATAGGAGGGACAGTCCCTATTGTATCCCCAACTCTCTGTCTCTCATTTCTGTCCTAATGTCCCTCTTTTCTCGGATGTCAATATTGTTGGTGTGTCTGAGTGTATAACAGAGCTCCACAGCAATAATACTCCCAGTAATGTGTCTGAGTGTATAACAGAGCTCCACAGCAATAATACTCCCAGTAATGTGTCTGAGTGTATAACAGAGGCCTACAGCAATAATACTCCCAGTAATGTGTCTGAGTGTATAACAGAGCTCCACAGCAATAATACTCCCAGTAATGTGTCTAAGTGTATAACAGAGCTCCACAGCAATAATACTCCCAGTAATGTGTCTGAGCGTATAACAGAGCTCCACAGCAACAATACTCCCAGTAATGTGTCTGAGTGTATAACAGAGCTCCACAGCAATTATACTACCAGTAATGTGTCTGAGTGTATAACAGACCTCCACAGTAATAATACTCCCAGTAATGTGTCTGAGTGTATAACAGAGCTCCACAGCAATAATACTCCCAGTAATGTGTCTGAGTGTATAACAGAGCTCCACAGCAATAATACTCCCAGTAATGTGTCTAAGTGTGTAACAGAGCTCCACAGCAATAATACTCCCAGTAATGTGTCTGAGTGTATAACAGAGCTCCACAACAATAATACTCCCAGTAATGTGTCTGAGTGTATAACAGAGCTCCACAACAATAATACTCCCAGTAATGTGTCTGAGTGTATAACAGAGCCCCACAACAATAATACTCCCAGTAATGTGTCTGAGTGTATAACAGAGCTCCACAGAAATAATACTCCCAGTAATGTGTCTGAGTGTATAACAGAGCACAGCAATAATACTCCCAGTAATGTGTCTAGGGGTATAAAAGAGCTCCACAGCAATAATATTCCCAGTAATGTGTCTG